ATTCTTTTTCTTCTCTTACTGCTACTGATGGATTGTAGATTAACTGCGGGTCGACAATAAGATATACAACTATCTAATTGCGATATTAGATATTTCTTTTGAGATACAGGGTGGTGAAGTTTTAAAAAATACATCATTTGTTATTAGTATCGGAAGTTCACCTGCTCTGGTTTGCCAACCAAAGAAATAAAACTGGTTTGTAACTTGAGTTTTGTAAAATGAAATGAAATACGTCCATTTTCTTCATCTTAATCTTTCATTGAAATTATGTATGAAAAATAATATCAGACAAATGGCCGCCTCTAGAAGCCGCTGTGCTCAAAAGATGCTTCTTTTGTCAGAGTTGATTTTTCGAAGCTCGGTGATGACTTTTGACAAACAAATGGTGGTATACCAATCCGCAGTAACAGTTCTAAGGAATTGTTGCAATATGACCCGCTTTTGACACAAACGTCGCGACCATCTTTTTCGATACACTTCGAGAACGGATGAGTTTTGTTGGCTTTTCTTCACCTTGGAACACCCAAACAGCCGACTGTCGTTTATTTTCTGGTTCATAACTGTAAATCCACGATTCATCAACACTAACAATCAAGCGTTTTTTGACACCAATTAACCCTCACTGCTTTCTGCTCTTTAGTCAACAGGTGGGGTATCCAACGAGAAACTAATTTTCTTCATGTAAATTTTTTTGAATTGAGGTCTTTGGGATCTTCAAGGACGCCTCAATCTCGCGATATGTCACATGTCTATCTTCAATGATGAGTTTGCGCACAGCATCGTCCACGTTTGAATTCTCCATACCAACGGGAAATTGTCGACTGATGTGGCGCTTCGTTGCCGAAAACAGACAGTAACTCGGCAAGGCATTCTTGTTGCGATAATTGTCTCTGAAAGTTGTAATAAATTATGGCGCGAAAATGTTCTCGGTTGAGTTCCATTTTTCTAATGACTTGGTGACACTTAAAAATTCACTGTAGTGAGCTGCACGTATTGTTGTGAAACTTTGAATTTAAGTTTACTAAAGAGTGAGGTTAAGATTCAGTACCGACGTTCGATCCGCGCGGCCTACTATGTTTCTATATATGCAAAACTTAAATGACATCCCTCGAATACCTAACCAACGCTAGTCTCCGATAATAGATGGCGCTACGTTTATCGGATATCTCTCAACGGTGCTGTTTATTTCGAGACAGACCTTGTATACCTGGAAGAACATTGGTGAAGTCTCTTTTATTAACGGAAATTTTCGAAAATTTTGCGGTTTTCGATTGAACTTGCATCATAGATTTGAATGTTTTCCCGTCAGTCGTGATTCTTTAATTGTTATAAGTTAATTCCACTTGTTTACATGTAAGAACGCTTCCGATTTACATAATTATTGGTTGAGGCACATAAACGTACCGACGTATAACCACGGTATGTAATGCATTATTCATAGTGTTACAAAAAACGCCTTTTCTAATTACATACTGCCCGTCATATCAAGTATTTTCTTCTTTCAAAAAATTTACATAGTCATAGAAGCGATGTCATCGGCATTGATTTTAATTTTATTGGCTTTCAGTTTTTATTCAGCTGCGAATCTTGTTGTACAAGGTTTTGATCTTGATTCGTAATTACCCTATCAGCGTTATTCTCGATATCGTTTTTTACCTTAGCATAAGATCAACGAAAGAAGTCTTATGACTGGGTGTATTTTTCAACTTTTTAAGATGATTTTGTCATACAAATCCGTGTTATTATGTTTACTTCCCACGCCTGTCTTAAACTTGGGAAGTACTACTCGGATTTTGATTAAATGTTCACACATGGTTTTTAGGTTTTGAAAATCGGTCCAGTGGTGGCGGAACTAGAGACAAATAAAAACGAAAAAAATCTGCCAAACTCCGTTTTTTGACGTTTCTGATCATTTTCATAAACAATTTTGTAGGGTATTAAAATTGGAGGGCAATTATTTGATGTTACGGATGGTAATGAATTATTTAGAAAACAATGAAAAATCGTGGTATTTGAAAAATAGAAATAGAAGGATCGGAAGGAGGTGTAGGAATTTTCAGAAAGTTGCAAACTTTTTTGCCTTTTTTTAATTTCTTAATCACCGTAGGACGTTGTTTCAATTTTTATATCGATACGTGATAAGTACTGGCCCTTAGTCATAAGATTTATATAACTATGGCAATAAGGCTGTACAATCACACTCCAGTCAGGATTAGAATGCTTTCCAAAGGTTTCAAATGGAACGAACATATGTTTTATTGTATTTGTTTAGCTATATAATGGGTGATTTTTTTTGCTAGTAACTTTTTGGCAACACTGTTTTTGACAGATGACGCGTGAATCGTGTCTTGTGTCATTGTCAAACTTGTTCAGTTTGGTCTATAATTTAACCATGAATCGGCTTACGAATGAACAACGCTTGCAAATTATTGAATTTTACTATCAAAATTCATGCTCGGTTAAGAGAGTGCATCGAGCACTGCTTTCAATTTATGGGCAATTTGATCGGCCTACTGAGGTAGCTATTCGGAAGCTTGTGACTAAATTTAGAACCCAGTTTACATTATTGGACATTAAACCACCAACACGCAGACGTAGAGTGAGGACTGAAGAAAATATTGCGGCTGTATCCGCCAGTGTTAGTGATGACCGTGAAATGTCGATTCGCCGCCGTTCGCAGCAATTGGGCCTCTATTACTCCACTACGTGGAAAATTTTGCGACAGGATTTGGGTGTAAAACCTTATAAGATACAGCTGGTGCAAGAATTGAAGCCACGCGACCTCCCACAACGTTTCCAATTTGGTGAATGGGCGCTGGCAAAGTTGGAGGAAGATCCACATTTTTATCGAAATTTTATTTTAACACTATGGTATAGGATTCGGCACCAGCCTTAATTTTATTGGTGAATTTCAATTTATTCAACCAATAACAAGCCGGGTGCCGAAATCACTACCGGAATGTTAAACAGTGCTGAAAACGGTGTCAGAATGTTATCAATTTAAATTGCTTCTACTAATATATCGAGTGCTGAAATCACTACTCGAATGTTGAGGATTGTCGAAATACAGTTCGGGACGTCTAAGGTCGCCGATGCGTAAGAAAGTTCTTTATCGTTTACGGGGTTTACGTTAGATATTATAACCTCGAAGTTCAAGCGTCATCGTTTTTAATACTTTCGAGTTGAGCAGAACAATGGAAGGTTGCATTAAAATAAAAAACAATATATACAGGGGAGTGTTTACAGACGAAGAAGGCGCTATGCAGTGACTGAGAGATGCTAGAAACTCTTACAACTTGACGATTTAAATGTGGTCTCGCAAATCCGCGTCGCCTTGTATATAGGTAAGTGTATTGTTATTGTTAAGGATTATTTATTTAATTCTAATCACGACCGTAGATTTTTTATTTTTGGAGCTAGACTTTTTTGAATGTTTTCGAGCTAGATTGTTCTTGCTTGGGTTAGACCTAATTTTCAGAATACCTAGTTCGAACATTCATTGCGCGCAAACGGCATAATATTGTTTAAACGAATGCAAAATATATGTTTAACCGATTTCCCAAAAGATGGAGGTTTTTAATTCGTCAGCTATGTTTTTTCTATGTGTGTTTACCGATTTTTTTCAAGATGGCTTATCCGATTATGATAATTATTTTTTAAATGAAAGGGTATAAATGCCTCTGGGGTAGTCCCATATTAATTGGATGAAAAAATATTGTCTTCAAAAAAGGTAATCAGGGGATGAAATTATTTTTAAGGCAAATCTGGAGTATTTGTGTGTTAATTTAGTTTTTTGGTCGGGGAGGTTGCCTTCATGAGTGACCCGAAATAACGACAATATATCATCCCTAAAACCTGAAGTTAATCCAATTTTAGTTCATATTTTGTACTTCAAGGGTTCTTCTAATAAAAGTTTATAGAAAAAAATTAATCTTGGAGGTGGAAAAGTAGGGAGTCTGAAAATTGCAACAATTTTTTTTTTTTAGTTTATAGATTGCTCATTTAAAATTTAAGGAAAAAAATAATCTGTTTATTTTACACACCTTAAAACCTAAATTTTTATTTGATTTTATATCAGGGAAAGTTATACTATCTGATACAATACAAAATAATTGACTTACGACTTTTTCAGGAAAACTTTTGTCTTCTGTCATGACAGGCGGTCAAAAAGAGTAAAAAAAGAGGAAAACAAGCAAGGTAAATCAAAAAATACAGGGTGCCAGGCCGAGTTATCAATTACGATAAGGTTGACAACTAGTGATACGGTGAAAAAAGACAAAAGTGTAAAGCTATGATATAATTTATAATGTTAATAAAAATTGTAAAATTGTAACATTGTCCGTTTTTAAGGATGGGTATCCGGCGATAATTATAATGAAAGGTGAACACAATCATACTTTGACTGATGGCAGTGACGCTGAGAGAAATGCTCTTAAATATGTCTGGCCAAATAGCAAAACTCTTTTATGTAGATTCCACATTTTGCAATCAGTATGGCGCTGGTTGTTTGACAAAAAACATAATATAAGTGCAGATGATCGTCCCATCCTTTACAATTTATTTAGAGATGTTTTAATATCGGAAAGTGTTGAAGACGCTTCTGAAGTATTTTCTATTGCAATTGGACAAAATCATATTTCTGATAATGAAAAAAAAAAAATAAAACAGTGAAAAAATATCCGCAATGGGTGGTGTACATTGAAAAATATTGGGAAAGACTTGACGATTTGTGTATGGCATACCGAGATGAAACTACACACGGAACCAAACAAACAATTTTTGTGAAGTGAGCATTCGACTCTTTAAAGATGTTGTGTTATCTCGGAATAAAGCATATAATGCAATCGCTTTAATATATTTTATAGTGAGTTGCTTGGAAGAGTATTACCAAAAAAGAATTCGAAATTTTGCTAATTCATGGAATTCAACACCTAGATTGTCATTAAAAAAGCTGATACATAAAGCTTCCAATATTAACAGGGATGATATTTTGTGTACAGGTTCTAAAACTTATAAGGTTCCTAGTGCGACTAAAAGCGTTGAATATTATTATATAGATGGAAACATAGGAGTTTGCACTTGTCATGATGGTAAATTAGGAAAATTTTGCAAGCATCAGGCTGCAATATACTTTTACTTTGAGGAAACTGTCATCAACGCACCTACGGTAACGCCAGAATCTCGTTACGAAATGGCCAAACTAGCATTTGGTGAGAAGGTACAACCTATTTCGTTTTACATGCCGTTAATGCTCTCTAATACGTCTTCCAAGCACACTGAACAAACTGCTGATATTAATGCGAATTTAGATGAACGAAAAGCGTTAATTTCGATCGAGATTGGTGTGTCCACGTCACCTACAAATTTTGTTAACAGTGTGGCGCTTTAGATGAAAGAAAGGGTATTGAAGAAATTTACTTGCTAATGCAACAGCATAAAAAACGATTTGTAACATCAAATGCAACCATTCAAAAGTGTATACAAAGACTTAGAAATATTAAAACAAGGACATCTTGGGAATCTTTTCTATGTACAGCTGGAAGTTCTGTACCAATTCGTCATCGTACTAAGATGAATATAAGAGTTCAACCTACTTCCATAAGCAGACGTAGAGTAGGGATTACAAGGGGTTGCAAAAGGTTACCGATTGGTCGGCCACCAAAGGAAAAAGGCGCACCAAGAAAAAGAAACACATGGAACAGGTCACTAAAACCTATTAAATTATTTTTTTGATAATCTTCTAATTGTCTTTTTTATTTTTGAATATTCTTGTGTTTTGAATTTTCTTGATTATTTTTGAACGGACCAATAAACATTCACATTTAATATGTTTATTTTCTACTACTTTTCACGAAAAGTGATAATTTCTTTCCTGAAATGATAAATGCTGTACTTGAATGAGAAAATACACTCTGTGTATAGATATTAGAATTTAGCTTCTTACATTACATGGGAGGAAAATACCACTTTTCCACCCGCGGATTATTTATAGAAAAATCCAAAAAAAGTATATTATTTTTTTAGATTTTTACATTTCCTTGCATTCTTTTTAAATCCAGTTATTTTCTATAATATATAATTTTAAATTTTTACATGAAATTTTTCTTATTACTAAACCAAATTATTAATTTTAAAATCATTAAATATCGTCATAGGAAACAACGTGCGTTGATTATTATCTTACGTATATTTAGCGGAAGGTAAGTAAATTTAAATTTAAATTGATAACATTCTGACACTGTTTTCAGCACTGTTTAACATTCCGGTAGTGATTTCGGCACCCGGCTTGTTATTGGTTGAAATTGACCAATAAAATTAAGGCTGGTGCCGAATCCTATACCATAGTGTTAAAATGCGGTCCGGTGGCATCATCGGGCCGTACTTCTTCAAAGACGACAATGGCCGGAACGTAACTGTGAATGGCGAGCGCTACCGTGCGATGATAACAAACTTTTTTTTGCCCAAAATGGAAGAGCTGGACTTGGCTGACATGTGGTTTCAACAAGACGGTGCCACATGCCACACCGCATATAAAACAATGGCCCTATTGAGAGGCGAGTTCGGTGAACAGTTTATCTCACGTTTGGGGCCCGTCAATTGGCCGCCTAGATCGTGTGATTTAACGCCGTTGGACTATTTCTTGTGGGGTCATGTTAAGGCTAATGTCTACAGGGATAAACCAGCAACGATTGACGCACTGGAAGCCAATATTGAAGCATTTATTCGTGAGATACCGGCCGATATGTTGGAGAGAGTGTGCCAAAATTGGCACTTGCGCATGGGCCATCTAAAGCGGAGCCGCGGCCAACATTTACATGGAATAATCTTTAAACATTAAATTATATCGACCGTTCTATAGACTCAAATAAAGATATAATCGTTTTTTCAAATTTTTTGTGTTTTGTTTTTAAACCAATTCCTATACCTCTCAAAAAAACACCCGTTATTAGTTTTGTTTTTACCAGGAACGCATTTTAAATATTGTGCTCCATCAATCTGACATTTAAGTGCGGTTTAAGCAACTGAGAAAATCTATCTATCTATTTCTAAGTTAATCATCAGGCGATATTTAAAATCTTTTAATGAAACTTCATTTTTGGGTTATTCCCGTTGTAATTCCAAGTAAATTGTAAATTTTTGGAATAATAGAGCATATATGAATAAACGTGGGTTATAATATGTATTTGTTTGTTTCAGTTAAAGATCTCGTTTGTTGATGGCCCGGAGATCTACGAGTATCCTTCTGAAACGTCATTATTAGTAGAAGAATCGATAGTATCGCCGGTTGGTCGCTCTGGTAGTGTTCCTAGTTTAAGTGGTAAGTTTTTCATAACTAAGTGGTGATTTTTTACCATTTTTAAATACATTCGTTGGAAATATTCAAAAGTTTCACAGACTCGAAATGTTTGGCAGTTTCATCTAGGAAAGGATTGGGGTGTTACCTCTCCAAGGCGTCTCCACTGTTGCCTGATCGAACGCTACGTTGCCAGTCTCGTAAAAATTTTTAAGTTATGACCACTTCTTACCAAACCAAAAAATCTCTTTGGTGTTACGCCACTGGAATACATCCCTATATTAAGAATAGTTACTTGGATTTGTTCATTACGCTGTTTAATTGCATACTAAAATTTATAAATTCGGTAGAAATTACATAATGTCAAAGTAGCAAATTTTTATTGCACGCCACTGGAGATAATAACGCTCAATGAGTGCTTCAGTCTTTTCTCGGGCGCAAGAAATTCCAGTTTATGCAACAGTATGAGCAAAAATACCCATTCTCAAGAGGAACCCCAGTGTTTAAAATTCGATAATTTGAGTTATAGGCAACTTTCGAAAAATTTGAGAAATTACTTTTTTATGATAATCGAAAAATCAGAAGCATGCATAGAAAAATTTCCAAGATCAAAAAATGAGATTCTGACAGCCCATGCTAAAAAACCAGACTTCCTTTGTTCACCCTTTATAAGGATGAATAAAAGAAATATTCTGGTCGAACCCTGTACATATTCTCAGTGTTGATCAAGAACCTGCCAAATACAGCAACTACTCGTAGAACCGTTTCGAAAATATTGGGATTTGAATTTGGGTAAAATTTTCCATGTCCGCCAGTTATACAGGGTGTAAACGTTATGATAGTCATTATTTAAATGGGTGATAGAGGGGGTTGAAAGAAGCAAAAAGTTTCATATAACATGGGGGTCAAAACGGCATTTTTTTTTTTGAGAAAAGCGACTTTAAAGTAAAATAAAATCTGACAACGTCGCAATGCCAGACGCAGATTACGACGGAACTCAGTGTAAATAAAGATGGAGTTTGTTATTTTTGGCTCTTAAGTATTATTTAATTATTTGATAATGTACTCGTAAAATGCGAACAATTAGAAAAAAAGGACTTATCACTAAGTGTCTCACCGCTTCACCTGGTGTGTGAAAGTTTATTGAACGTATTAAAAAAATCCACTTATAAACAGCGAACACAATTTTGATACATACATTGTTTTTCTTTTTGAAACCCACACAGCACTTTTTTTTGTATTTAAAGAAGGTGTTCAAAATGTCATCCTCCACTTTCCACGCAAGGTTCATTACGACGAACCCAGTTTCTTCTTACTCTAGGTCCTCGAAGTCGTCCATTTATTATTTCAGCCGCATTAACATTTTTTTCGCGAAGTTGTGCTTCAGTTGTTATTGGACCAGCCCTATAAACCATCCCTTTAAGTTCTCCCCAATACCAGAAATCCATCGGATTGGGGTCAGGAGATCTTGCTGGCCATTTTCGAGGATCAGGAGCATTTTCACCGATCCAGCGATTTGAATAATGTTCATTCAAATACTGAATGACGCCTCTAAATGTGTGGTGGTGCCCCGTCATGAATAAACCCCGAATTCTGTCTCCGTTGTAATGGCATGTTGTCTAAGGTCTGTTCCAAAGGTTCTGGTAGGTTATTGGCTAGAAAGCTAAGGATAAAGCAAATTTTCCCGTGGGATTCTATAGACTATGGTATGCGATAGTCCTACGCGGCGGCCTAATTCCCGAGTGCTGATATCTGCATTGATTTCCACGATATTTAAAATCCTGCTCTACAGTATCCTGTCTTTCACGAGTGCTAATATTAGTGGGCTGAACACTTCCTGTATCTCGAAGTATTTGGTACAGTTCCACAAATGTCCTTCTGTCTGGGTGTATCCGTTGGCGAAATCTGTCTCGATAAATTTGAGTTGCAAGATTTGAATTCTGACGAGCTTCACCGTAAACTAACATGTCGGCGAACCCTTGATTCGAGAAAATTGTAAATAAACACGACGACGTACGCGAACAATAACTAACCACTGTTACCGTTTGCGATCGATTGCCGGTTCGATAAGAGTGATGAAAGGCCGACGCGCTGTTGTCATGTGTGTTTTAAATATTTAATTTAATGAAACTTACTGGTTACAAATTTTGGCTTAACTTAGAAAAACCTAGGGCCCTTTATTTGTTAATTACCCAATTTAAAAACGTTTTAGATTAGATTATAAAAATTATTAAGATTGTGGTGGATGTAAAGCACTTAAAGTTGTAAACTATAAAGCCATTTAGACAAACATCTATTGACTTTTGGACCATGGGTCATATGAACTTTTTGACCTGTTTTGACCCCCCCCTATTACTCATTTAAATAATGACTACCATGACGTTTACAGCATTTTTAACCAATAAAATAATTTTTATTGGGTACTCTATTTTCTTTGCCACCGAGTGTGTAGTCGTTATCCGCATTTCGATTTTCAGGTTCCACGTTAACGAACTACACTCCTAAAGGCGTAGAGGAGTTCCAGCCTGGGGTGACGCGGCCTTCAGCTCCTCAAACACCCACCAAGCCAGATGTAACTGAGGTATCAAGTGATTCGGAACCGTTGTTTGAAGAGTGCGACAGGCCTTTCAGCGAAGATTCCAATGCAGACATACTTTTTTGAACCATTTTAGCAATGCTGATACATTTCTCATATCCAGTACAGTCACACCGACACGTAGCTCTTGTAAAAGAACGGTTTGATGTAAACACAAAAATAAGATATTTTGCAACTTGATTCCAACATTGCGAATGAATACTACATTGAATGGGGGTAGTGTAACGAAAAATAGATAAAAGCTTGTAATTTATTATGATAATCATATCACGTTATTTTCTGTCATGTATTGTGTTTACAAATTTCTAATGCAATTATAGCAAAAAGACTGAAATTTTCACTGGAAATTTACATGAACTTTTCCGCCATTTTTCATAGAGCGTTTTTACGAGTTACATCAAGGATAAAATAATTGTTTGATGAACGATTGTTTTTTTTTTTTCATTAAAGTTCATAAGTATTTTATCAACTGCCCGAAAATACCAAAACGTTCATCTGCATTGGATAAAAATATTGCTTGGGTATCTATATCTCTTCCTAAAAAACGTCGCATTGTTCTTTTCTATAAAAACGTGTCTTTCAACTGGTAGTCTCTTATAATATTTAAAGGGAGATAACTGTCAAAATTAACGGAATGCACAACTTGTAATTTATTTTTTGGGTCTAAATTAATAAGATGACCATTTTTCGCAGTGCCAAAATCTTGCCAAATTCTCATCATTTTTTCCCAGTAAAGTTATAATGCTTAGGTGGCACGTCTTTTTTTTAGTATTTTTTTTAACTTCCTGTTTGCAGTAGTATTCTAAAAAGCAGTTTTCATTTTTTTTGTCAAAAAATGCATATTTGTGCATTTTTCTTCAATCGGAACAAATATAAGTGTGAATATCTCTTCTATGGAAGAATGACACGAGTGATGACTTTTGTTCTTATTACTTTTCCTCTTCGGAAAATCTTTGCTTTTCCTGAAATTCAACATTCTGCGAGACGAAGCTTCAAGAAAGTCAAAGATTTTTCGAAAAGTACAAAAGTAATTACTCGTTTCATTCTTCCATAAAAGAGGAATATTCACACTCAATTTCAGAGCTGTACTTATATTTGTTAACAAGTTCCGATTGAAGAAAAAATGCATTTTTTCTCAAAAAAAAAAAATGAAAACATTGTTTTTTAGTCATCTCTATATACACCAGTTGAAAAAGATTTAGAATACTGCTGCAAACAGAAAGTTGAAAAGGAATCTAAGAAAGGGAGACGTGCCACCTTAACAAAAATTTGTTACTTAGTTGATTTTGACAGTTTTCCATCGTATTATTCTTCAATGTAATCATCGAATAATATTCCTGTATATCCTAATATACATATTCCAGTATTTCGATAGTAATCACATATTTGTCGTCGTTTTTTGAAAACTTTACATCTATTTGTACATTTATACATACTTATATACTGCCTAAGAGTAATTTCGTGAAGTGCTTTAATCTTTTAATAAGAATTTTTAGAGAATGTTAAGTGACATATTGAAATTGCCCGGTACTGCAGAGCATTTTTTGATTTATCACCCACTTGAGAAATATAGGTAACTTGCCACTGAAAATCGCAATCTTAGATCTACACGATATGAGAGATACTAAAATAAATAGCAACTAAACCTTCAATTTTCCCCGATGCTGATACTAATTTTGAACTGCGAATTAAAAAAAAATATTTAGGGTGGCAAAGTTCTATAGTCTTGTAAAGTGAACATTCCATGCATTTTCTTTGATATAAACACTGTGTCATATTTGATGGGTTGGCAATTTCATTGTTTATTAAGTTTCCATGTATTTATTGAATAAAAAATTGTGCGTTTTGTATCATACACTGTTTGATGAATCTTTCTAAATTTCTCAAATAAGTGGGAAGCTAGGATTAATTTGAGACGTTAAGTGGGCGAAATTGAATAAAAATTGTAATTTTGTTAGACGTGAGTTTATTTTTATATAAAATTTAATTGTGATTGCAAATCTGAATAATGTCAAAGACTTGATATGGACAAAAAGATGTGAACATCACTATTTCAAACATCATTCCAAATGGGAGATATTTGTAACACTTTTAGGCTAAGGGTCTAGGATTATTGTAAATACAGGAGGTTTCAGAAGATGATCCCTGATAAACGTAATACTTGTGAACCTGTGGCATTTTCTAGAGTAAACTAAGTTGCCATATACGCGAGAACCTTATTGAAAAAATGCCTAAAATTTATCATCACAAGTGAGGCCGAGCGTTCAAAAAGGAATTTCTTTTAAAACATTGCAAGATACCTGATGACATCATTACAAAAATTAAATTAGCGGTAACTTCCTGTATTTACTTCAATCTCATTTAAAATGTAATCAAATACGAAAATCACTGTACTGAATCATAATATGTATCTATATTTTAAATCGTTAGTTTTTAGAATATACTTTTATTGTTAATTTATAAACTGTGATTTTGCAAACTAAGCTGGACCAAGTTTTCAATAGCAATGTACTATTTTGCTTTAGTGATATCCTATTTTTGTTAGCTTTAGCGTTTTGAGTGTAAGCATTTGTAAAGTGTTTAGTGGTTATTGGAATTTGGATGGATCCAAGCTTCAAACTAGGTGTTCATTCGGTGATGAAACAAAAAATATCATGGAAAGATTTCATTTTGCTGATCCTGGTAAAATTTAATAATTAATTTGTGCATTTTGTGCCATTAGAGTAAACAAATGGGACAAAAATGCATACTTGAGCATTCTAATGAAATTGTAGTACATGATCAAGCTTTTTAACAATTTACATTAAGCAACCTTTGTAGCGTGAATTATCATTTGTAGAATCATAATTATTGCAGATTAATTATGTTTGTGATGCGATACGAGAAATTACAAAAAAGTCAATGTAACATCTTCAAACACCTACATGCAGCTGGACCCAAGGGTGTATAATTCTTTATCATTTGTGTATATTTTTTTTTTATTTAATAAATAATGCATAATATTTCAATCATGTTCTTTTATTGACTAGTAATCCACAAAATTAAGATCTCTGACCCACTCCCAAGTCCTCAAGGTTGCTAAGCAACCTGTCTGTTGCCAAACTTCAAAAACATATCAATTTCAAAAAATCAATGTAACATCTTCAAACACCTAAATGCAGCTGGATCCAAGGGTGTATGATTCTTTATCATTTGTGTATATATTGTTTTTTTCAATAAATAATGCATAATATTTCAATCATGTTCTTTTATTGACTAGTAATCCAGAAAATTGAGATCACTGGACCCACTAGCAAGCAACCTGTCTGTCGCCAAGCTTCAAAAACATATCAATTCAAAGAAAATTTGTATGCCCATGTCCAAAAAATTATCCGAGATAAAATGAGATACTATAGCATCATATATGAGAATTTGTCACAGCTCCTTCTCTATTTACTTTAAAAAGGTTAATGTCTTATAGATTGTGCTGTGGCCAATTCTGTACCTCAGAGCCAGACTAGGTTAAGTCCAAATAAGTAGTTTTGAGATAATTGTATTTGAAATATTTTTCTTGCATTGTATTGTATGCGACTTGACATGAGTTAAAAATTCGTAACTTCCTTATTATTACAGATAGATGGACGCTGCATGTAGCAAATGAAAAAAATTCAAAATATTATTATAAGCTTAACATATTAAAATTATTTTTGATGAAAATGGTCTTAACCTGGTCTGGCTCTGGGTACAGAATTATATTAGCATATAGACAGTGCCATCTATGAGACACTAACCTTTTCAAACTATTAGTATATGGAGAAACAGCTGTGACAGATTATTTTATAGAGGCCTATTAAATTATAAATAATTTCATTACAAAAATGCCAACACAATTCATAAAACTTTCTGAAATATGACAATTGAGACTTTGTTCTTAAAACAACCTTTAATTATCAAAGGTTATAAAACAATTAATTAGATTTAGAGAAAATGTCAAAAAAACACCCACTTGTACATTAAAATTTTCCATAAGAGTGCTTATATCAGAGGACCATCTGCAGGCTTCATGAACTTTTTATTCTTGGACCTATGCTTGGATTTGTTGAATTTCTTTTCTATTGTATTCACTACAGTAGAATATCCTTCTGCCATTTCAACATCCGTAATATCCTTTTCTTTCTTCTTTTCTTCTTCTTCCAATTGTTTGCTATAATCGTTTGCCATTAGCTTCTCAATTTCCGGATTCATTCCTCCAAAAGAGAGCCTACCATCTATCAGGTTTTTGCAGTTCACTATGCTAGTGCTTATGAATACCAAGTTTCCAGTACGTCTCATTTCGTCTGTTATTTCACTGGAATACATGGATTGCCCTTCTGCATCTTCTTTTGCTTTTTCAACCTTCTCTTTGGTTCTTTTCATGAACTTCATGTCTAGGATACCTTTTGATAACTTGATTTGTTTACTGTCTTCCATATTTAAGCAGCGTACTCTCAAGAGATCCACAATTGTCTGTGAAGTTAGTGTCTAAAAGCTTTTTGTTTTTCAAACACGAGTAAAATAGTAAGTTCGTTTTGATACCTTGAATTTTGAGGTTAGCCGAGAATATGTCTTTCATCAATTACAGAAATCTACTTAGCCGATGATCGGCGTCCTCTGTGAGAGGTTAGGTGTACTAAGGTACGTGCTGCGTCATCTGCCGTAAAATGTTGAACTATGACTGAATCACGGTGTACATAGGATAGGTGTTCATACTCAGCCAATATGGAAAGTTTTTTTGAACTTTTTCTGTTTAGATTTTTGGATTATAATATGCCCCACTGTGAGATTGGCGAATTGACTCTGTATCAACTATCCAGATTTGCCTTGTTCTTGATTTGCTGTTATAGAGTCTGCAATTTGTATACAGTAAGCCCAATAATTTAACAAACTATTTCGCTACCAATTCCCGAAAGCTCTAGATGCCGACAAATCTGGAAGTTATTATGGCAACAAAAATGACAGGCTTATGTAGTATGTGTATCATCACCTATTCTAGATCCACCGTAATGAAATTCTAGTTTAGACAGTGAATACCAGATGGTGCTTGCCTGACCACAGAAATTTTATCGGCAAAGCTGAGTGTTTTCACCTATCCTACATCCACCCTGATATCAGTGTAGTTTACACACTGCCCATGAAATGGCAGTTGCAATTCCTATTACAGAAATTTATCTTATCGCCAACGCATTATGTGCCATCTAATATTGAGTGTCTTAACTATGATATAGAGATAAAGATCTTGGTCAAGCACTGTAACGAACTTTTAAACTTCATGAACAATTAGTTTTGTGTCCGAGAGGTGGCGCAATAAAATTTCCAATGAATTTTTTCAATAGATCCTTTTTTTTAAGATTAAAATCAAATGGAGATGTGTTGGTAACCTGTAGTTATAAAATAATGTGGGCAATTAAGGCATCATCCGGTAAATAAGCATGTTTTCAAAACCTAACCTAAAACTTTATCGAATCAGAAGGTGTTAAGTGGGCAAGGAACAAAAATAATAATATATGGGTATACCTAATCCGTGCAAAAGCAAAATAATATAGGGCTGAGGCTTATGATTGAAGGTAATAATCAATTTAGAAATGGTATGATTTTTATTTCTGATTTCCGAAAACCTGTATTTACATGGCTGGGAAATAAATAGTTGTAAGATGAATACGAGGGTGGAACGATATCTACTTATTTCTCCAAGTGAGCGGCATCTTTTTCAATTTTTTTGACGAACCCCAGATAACAGACGTCCAACTATTTATCTAATACCCCGTGCATTTTTCAGAAAATCTTCAAGAATGTCTTCATCCATAGTTCAGTACGTAATAGTACGTTCTGACCTTCTGAAAGAGCTACAGTGGCCTGTAGGGGCTCTTATAGCTCAAGCTTGTCATGCAGTTACGGCGGCTACACATCTTTTTTACCAGGATGAACATACTCAGACATATTTGAAAGATTTAGACAATATGCACAAAGTTGTACTAGAAGCTCCTGACGAGAAAAGCCTGGTGGCATTAGGTCAAAAGCTCGAAGAAAATGATGTCAAGCATAAGTTGTGGATTGAACAGCCCGAGAACATTCCTACGTGTCTGGTCGTTAAGCCGTATCCCAAAGAAGAAGTTCAGAAGTATTTTAAGAAATTCGAATTGTTCAAAACATAGTGATATTTTCATTTTATTGAATTTATTTTTTCTATGTTCTTTACCTCTCCCAAGATATCCTTTAAATTGTTTAAGGTATTCGCCTAATAAACTTGTGAGCTTACTTTCAAGAGACTAAAGATCCCTCTTAAATAGAAACAAATAAAAATCTTGTGGGTTTTCTCCTTTTATTTTTGTTGACTACACTCAGCATCTGTATTGTTGTTGGTTACAGTTTTTTCTACATCAACAGTGTCGATCTTCGGTACATCGGGTTTCTTCTTCGGAAGTAAAAATACCATTATGATTACCACTACAAACAAAAAACATGATTTACTATAAAGACGAGCTGACGCAATGGCTATAGTAAATATACTATAGCCATTGCGTTAGAAATGTATTTCAGGTTCTGTGGATGTGAGATCTCATCTGTGCATCTCTCTGGTGCTTTCATGATGAACACAAGACGTAAACAACTCACTTTGGTAGTTCAGACCAGTTGCAAGCATAAATAAAATTAATAAAACAACAAAACATGGTAAAACGGGTACCAAAATTTTACGACGTACCATACATGATAATTGTTTTCCCACCATTTTTTAACGGCGCCCTTGACCTTCAATCTTCTTTACACTGCTCTTGCAAACCTGAAACTTCCAAAGACACTTACCTAAATGACTCGCAGCGAAAACATAGAACATATAATCGCACAGATATAACATCAGCGGTCCCGCAATGTTGGACCCCGTCATGGCCCCAAATCTGCCCACGCAAAGGGACACAGCGAGAGCCATCCCTCGAATTTGAGTGGGGTACAGCTCCACTACGATGGCGTTCACGATGCCTACGCCCGTGGCGGCCACAAGGAACACTCCTAGGGCCACTTGGATGTACGTGTGGCCGGAGAGGTGTTGCGCTATGACGCCGGATATTGTCGTGAAGGTCATTAAGCCTGAAACACAAGTTTTTATTTGAAACATTAAATCTAATAAGGAGAATTAAAGAGCGGAAGTCATCTGCATTTATAGTAGAGAAGACGATCTTAATTTTTTTGTTACATCACCGGGTACTGTTATGATATGAAAAAGAAACGATGAAAAGTAGTGACATCTTACCAGGTGCGTATCCATGATAACATCTTTGGGAGGGGGCAAGTAGTATGGGTTGCCTAATTCCAGGGGGAATTTTCAAGCGGTTTGCGGTTATTATAGAGTAATTGAGATGGGAAATAATAATCAGCAGTGTAAGAACAGAAAGCACATTTATTTTAAGTTTTCACACAAAAAAACATTCTTTCCTGCAAGTTTGAAGCATTGAGGAGGGGGCAATATTACCGTTTCCTTCCCTCTGTATCCGCACCCACATCTTTCATATGGATTTGATTAGCTTTTATCATTCAATATCAGTACGCGATGTTACCAAAACTTTCCGATCGGCTCTTGGACTATAACTGTCTTACAAGGCGAGGCTACCGTTGCGGTGTTGCCAAGCTGCCATAAAATATTTATAAAACACTACATTTATACCAAACAGTAGTGGATACGTCAAAAAATTATACGTCTTAAGGCCAGGCTGTCTACATAACTCGCGAACATATCAAATATACCGACGATTGGTCAAATAAGCAATTTGACGTGAGAAAACTTTTAAATTCCTAGCTGACGTACTTCTTTCACCACAAGTGATTGTCAATGAATTTAGCCAAAAAGGATTATCATCTATCTGGCAACAATGCATTTCTTTTAGACTGAATGAAATCAGCCGTATTTAGACGTCATCAGCTGTTTTATAGACACCATGTTTTTGGAGTCATCTCTTATCTCTCTCTAATTTAATTAGTATTGTCTGTCTTCTCTATATATAACTACCCTCTGACATTACTTACTTTGAGTGTTTTGTTATGTTCGTCACAAAAGAGTTTTCACTGCTATTTTTTTATAACGATACATATATTGGTATAATAGTTAATAGAACAATGTTGATATGGTAAAATATCAGAAGGTTGTTTCCAAGTAAAATCGATCTGACTTTAAACACTATTGACACACTGCCTCAAAGGAACGTACCTATTAGTAATCTTCTTGGGCCAAACGTGTTGATGAAAGTTCCAATAAATATGTAACTGACTGCATATACAAAACCTATTATCAATGATACCAAGAACACCTCTTCGTTCACTGTGTCGATACAGATTTGAGACTGAAAGAAAACAATAAATTTAATTTTAGTTCTTGTACTGTGTCTAATACTTGTTTAGGCTTCTGGGGCGTAAACTCGGTATTTGTGGCCCGCCGTATGGAATTATAGACCAAAATTAGCTACCTGGAGCAAATTATAAGTATCTTAAGTTTGATTATTAGATTTTGAGCACGAATAGTCCAGGAAGTAAAAAAAAATCTGATTCGGTTTTACTGCATAATCTTATTCAAAATCGACCTCTTTTAGCGAATCTGCGTGTTGCCAGACTCAGAAAAACGTCAAAAATTATTGGAACAATTTTTATAAAGAAGTTCCAAAAATAGTTTTTTTCGGACCGAACAACGTTGTTTAGGTTTTTTGAGGCATTCTCAAGAAAAAAGATTATTATGCTCCAAGGTGATAGTTTATTGATACCTAGGTACCCTGGTTTTTCGTCGAGTATTACACGGGTTGTAACGGTTTCACCGTCCGATTGTATTTATTAAATCACTTCTCGATTATCATTTCAGAATCGCAATTCATTAATCCGACCTCTAGCTTTTTTACTTGGAAAATTTTCCACTTGGAGCCCGCTTGATGAGGAGTTCCTGATCTGCGATCTTCCTCGCGCTTCTTTTTTTCACTTGAGCCGCCGATCGAACAAGAGCTAAGAATTTTGTTCTCTGTAGCACAAGGTCATATAGCAACATGTGCTAGAATTTTGTAGAATGTGTGTCCGAATAGGACAAAATGATTGGGGCCACCCCCTTTCTCTTTCCCTTTCCCTTTCTCTTTCTCTTTCCCTTGCCCTTTGCATTTGTCTTTGACTTTTGCCTTTGTCTTTGACTTTGCTTTTGCCTTTGTCTTTGACTTTGCATTGCTTGGCCTATCACTTCACCCATGCATGTGCCTTGTCAGCGCTATCACCTTTAAGTTCAACTTCGCCTACAACAGGTTTTGAAGCCACTATATGTGAGGTCACCCCTCATAACTGGGACCTCCACTTCAAGCACCTGGCCATCCTCGCTTCAGTAAAGTCAAAATGGACCAGCGAAAGATAAGTTGATAGTTTTATAGCAGCGCCAAAGATTTAAAACTTATTTTGTTCTTTAAAACTTTAAAATTGTAATGTAATGAAAATGCTTTTTGTTAAATAAAATCTGTTAAATTTTTGTGTTCTGTTTGTTCTTCTATCCTCTAGCCATGCCATGGTCGACATATAGCTACACGCCTGTAGATGTCTTCATGCCACCGACTGAGCTACCGGAAGCTAATGCTAACCCCCTTTCTGTGATTGTGTAGAAAAGTTGGAAACTTCATTGCATTCCATGTTTTCCGGACTTTTTGTGGAAAGGAAGCGTCACAGGGTCTGGTATACCAGGGTACCCGGGTCCGAAAACTGGTAAACCTTTTCAAGCTTCTATTCTTCTTTATTAATGCTTATTACGAAGTGTTCTTCGACATTACTTACCGTTATCGATCTAACGATACCAGAACCCACACCCACTTCTGGGATGTCGTTTTTGTAGTCTGCTTCATCATATAGGATAGCTGTACACATTGTTACCTCATTGGACGGTACTACTTGACCATAGTCACTCATACTGTTCAGGATTTGCGGGTACCACATTATTATAGCTGATGTCCTATGAAAATTACACTTTATCTCTATCAAACTGGCGAACCCCTCCCATGACTATTGCTATTGATGATAAAAGCGCTCATCACTAGACTATTTTACGGTGGCTGAATGCGCTCAATAAAGCATTGGACAGAATCTGTCATCGTGACAAAAATTATACAATATTCAGTACTTACGATAAAAATATTGCAAAATGTAAATAGCACACCATGGCCGTTTTCAAAAGATATCCCTTCCTAAATAATGGCGCGGTCTGTTGCCACATTGAACTCAACATACACTCGTTCTTTTCATGTTTCAGGCCTTCAACAGATTCATCCGAAGTCAACGAACCCACCGGGAATTGCGTCCTGTCTTTTCCAGTATTTATGCGGTATATATTTTGTAGTATTCTCATTACTTCCTGAAATTATTGAGTACTTGAGAACAATGTGAAGCATCTTCCAAAAGATGCAGATGCAGATGTAGAATGTCCCTCAACCCCTACTGGCAGAGAAATCACTAACGTGCTTGATTAAACGCTCAAAAAGCGTATACATAACTTAACAAAATGAAAAAAATTATTGAGAATAATTGAGAATCAAAATCTCACAAAATTGATACCTAGGTAACCATTTTAATATACACTGAAAACCGAATTTGTCTGACGACTCAAGTTCAATGTGTACGAGAGAGAAGTGTCTATAGACACATATGTTAGAAAGAGATAGAACCTGCCTGGATAGCGAAGCTCATCACCGCGTTCCTAATATGTTTCATGCTTCTTGAATTGCGATGCACATTGAAAATATGTGTTAGTCTATTCTTTACGCTCAAATAATGGTTTTATTTTGAGCGTACACGTTTTTGGATTGTAAGTTGTGTCGAATCTGTTTAGGATTCATACCCGATCGGTCCTAAGGGCGCTCCATTCTACGTCGAAATGAAAGGTCAAGATCGCCACAAATTCTGCAACATTGCATCATTGGTTCTCTTGGCAACACCGAATCTTGTACATTTCGAGGCAAGGTTTCCACCACAGTAAATACTCAATACTAGTTAATTACGTTGTGAGTATGCACTTTTTACCACGCCAAAGCTCGCATCATCAAACTCAAATTCCCTTTTAATAATGTTATTTCCGCCATTCTAACTACTTTAATATATACTAAGTGACATATAAATCCGAACACCCAGTTTAAATGGTTTTATTTTAATAAAAGTTGGTGACTGTAAATAACAAATGAAAAAATTTTCGGCCTTATCAGTTGGACATTCCGGTTTTTATACTGCTTTTTCTTAATTCACTAACGCTCTAAAAATGAATATTTCAGCCGCAGTAAAGAATCAACGTTGGCGGATTTTGGTTCTTGACATCCTTTACGATCGGTTACGATGCCTAGAGTTCGGAGACCTGTACGATTTCGTCAACTTAGTGAGTTTGATAGGGGCCGTATAGTGGGACTTCGGGAAGCTGGACTTTCTTTTCGAGCAATTGCAGTTAGAGTGCGAAGAAGTGTAGACACTGTGGGTAGGTGTTGTCGGGCATGGCTTCGAGAAGGCCGTACGCAAAGAGCAAGGGGCACTGGACGCCGCCGTAGAACAACAGACCGTGAAGATCGCCGCCTAAGATTATTGGCCTTAAGGGACCGTTTCTCCACTACCAGGTCCATTGCAAATGAATGGTTTGCAGAACACGGAAGACCTATTGGCATGCGAAGTGTTTACCGACGAATGAGAAGTTTTGGCTTGTTTTCATACCGGCCACACTGGGTCCTCCCTTTAACTCGAGAACACCGACGTAATCGCCTTGAGTGGTGCAGACAACGGTCACTCTGGGATCAGGAATGGAACAGTATTGTCTTTAGTGACGAGTCTCGATTTTGTTTAGGCATGCACGATGGTCGTGCCAGGGTTAGAAGGCGACGTGGTGAAAGGAGGAATCCACAGTTTTTTGTTGAAAGACACTGTTGGAGTTATGGTTTGGGGTGCTATAGCTTATGGTTCCAGGCCACCTTTAATCTTCATCAGAGGTAACATGAACGCGCAGCGTTATATCCACGAAGTTCTAGAACCCCATCTTTTACCCTATCTTGACACCCTGGCAGATCCAACTTTCCAACAAGATAATGCCCGACCACATGTTGCAAGAGTCACAATAGACTTCTTTCAACATAATGATGTCACATTGTTACCATGGCCACCAAGATCTCCCGACTTATCCCCAATTGAGCACGTGTGGGATACGATGGGTAGGAGATTGCTCAATTTGCAACGTCCTCCTCAGACTCTAGAAGCACTTCGAGAGGAGTTGGTGGTTGCCTGGAATGAGATACCACAGGAGGACATTGACCACCTGATCAGAAGCATGCCTAGGCGCGTTGGAGAATGCGTAGCACATCAGGGTGCATCCACACATTATTAAAGGTCAAAGGGCTTTAAAGCAGTGCAATCATTTTGAAATTTTTATCATTTACTTATTATGCTTCATTAAGTACTTATACAAAATTTTATTAAAATAAAACTATTTAAACTGGGTGTTCGGATTTATATGTCACTTAGTATAAATACCTACCTCGTTTTCTCCTCGAACTAACAAATATTTCGGACTTTCCGGTAGAAGGTAAATCAATAATGCGGAAATAAGGCTTGGAGTAGCATATACGATCATTAGAAGTCTCCATGGTCTGAAGTTGATGTCCAAAAAGCTGATATAGTACTCCCATTGCTGAGGTAGAATCAACCATGCCATGCCCGGTAAGTACATGTTGCCAATTGCCACGAATGTGGCTATATAAGATACCACCTGGAAGAGTTAAAGATACTGAGATTTCAGAATATTTTTGTATAATATAAATAAATACAAACCTTTGGTCTGTAATAGTTGTCATGGAACTCTCCTGCGAATGCATAGATAATAGCTGATGAACCTCCAATCCTAGAAAAATAGTACATTGCATACCTTGGTTAAGAAGTAAGGCATTAATGACTGACCACTCTGTCGTCATGCTTTCCCCTTTCCTTATTTACCTTGTGCGGGTTAAATGGTGATCAAATTAAATATCTTATAACATTTTGAATATGCCAATTTTTACAACCAAGTCAATTTTCAAACTTATATTAGGCTTGCAAAACTTCTGATAGATAATCTTGAGGCTCAATTCTACTATTCTCTACTTCCTGCTCCTAAGGAAACAACTTCCAGGATCGACTGTTATAGGCAAATTCAATCGTTTCCACGTCACTGTTCTCTTGTTCTTTCAAGCTGCTTGATGCCCCATCTGGCGGCGTTCAAGTGAAACAAACCGGATTGGTAAGGTATCTTTAATCGTTTTGTAGGTGCACCACGCGGCCTCGTGGGCACTTACCACGATAACACCGTGCGTGTACAGTAACCTTAATACGACGAATCTATCGTTCATTTTTCGTTTTCAACTTTACGACTTTTCTTACAGAAATTTGATGTGGCATGTCTGGTCAGATGTTCTGATTTAAAATATAGTAATCTTTGTTACATTCATACCGTAATACCTTTGTCATGGATGGGATTATCGTCAATATTTTTATCTGTGTATAAATATCGCCCAGACACAGACTGCAATTTAATGGTCATGAATGATTTTTTATATACATTTCCTTTTTTCCAAGATTATGCCTCTCAGGGTAGTAACACTGTCATTTTCAATAAAATGCTCGGTATTAGCTGTCATATTAACCTAGGTTATATCAAATTTGATTCACGGATCAAATGAAGAAAAATTGTTGTTTTCTTGATTTATTATGGGGAATAGAGGTATTGTTACACAAATCGTATACACTATCGCTAGTTTGAGAGATATTTTAAAAGAAATCGAATATATTCATTATTTGCTCCTCGAAGCAAATTTTGATCCTTGGGATTGCCTCAATGTGAGAATGATACTTATATGACCTATTTACTACTATATACAAGTGTCAGTCCCCATTTACCGAAGATATGGCACTCTAAATGCTATTATGTACTTACAAAATTCCGTTTATAAACCTGAGAAGTATAAACAACCAAGTTATAGCTATTATGCTTCCTATGTAACTGACAGCTGCACTAGAGACTAATGAAAACAAAACTATTTTCCTCCGTCCTTTCGTATCTCCCAAATAACCCCATAAATGAGATCCTGTAAAGAAACATATGATAAAATTCTCTAATAAATAATAATAGTGAAAATTTCATCAAAATCCGAGCGGTACTTCTCAAATTATAGGCGGTTATAAAATTAGCGGACAGATCGACAGACAGACGGAATTGAGTGACAAGGCTTTTCGTGATGTATATATTTTTATTTGACATTGACATGGTTCGATATCTATTGACATTTTCAGGAAAAAAATGGACTCAATGGCAGATGCGTTTAAGGAATTATTGCTACCTCCTCAGTATTTGATCATGAACTGCTGGATGTTTGTTTAGAGCTGTGTCAATACATACCTAGGTAGCAAATGCAAATACCCGACCAAAAAAACATAATAAACATCTTAAACGTATGCAATAAAATGCCCATAAAACTTGGCTCATAATTCCTGGAAATAGTCGAATTAACACTTTCTATCTTGTTGAAGGTCGCAGTTTTGTAAACCGGTTTGATGCGTTCTTTTCATTTTATCGAAAATGTCCAATTTGGAATCGACCATGCTGAACAAATTTTTGGTGCCGCAAAATTCTTTCGAAGTCAAAAAGCGTTTGTGTTTTGTTTTTGTTTTGTCTGTTTAGAGGAAATCTGCCGCCGAGCTTTCTTTTCTTAATGGAAACGGATATTAGTGGATTTTTATTTACCAAGAGATTCCGCGGGGATAAGTTCTCCAGGACCATGATCCGTTCGTTTTTATTTCTTACGAGAAAATGGTGCATCGGCCGGAGAAAAGTCGAGAGGTCAGATTTGTTGCAAAATAAATCAGGATTGCAAAAATGATTTTTATTCTCGGAAAAAGCAATATCTTACCATCTTTTTTTAAATGTCCAGTACACATCACGTACGAACGCGTAGAAATATAAAAAAAATATTCTACATCAAAAAATGCCTATCGGTGCATGTCAAATTTCATGAAAATATCTAGAACAGTGTTAAAGTTATGATAAGAAAACGATTTGTTTCTTAAAACTTCAACACCCTGTAGTTCAAAAGTTAAGAGGTCTAGGACATATGTTCATATAAGCTTTTCTGCCTAAAATGAGCTAAGGAATTTATTTTCAGCCATCAATTATATCACTCTGACGGGTGATATAAACAGTAATCATATTATATTTATTATTTCTCTTTGTAGCTCTTCCATGTCTTTTCTCAGCTTTGAGTATCAATTGTCAGGTGTACGGAAACATTTGAACGGTATACACTACATTACATACATCCGCTACGTTTTCTAGCCAAAACTGAATGACGGTACCGCTCTAAGAATCGATAGATGTCGCTTACTATCATATAAACCCTTGTCTTCTCACTCATCATAAACGTGTCTGTCACACCATTGTCATTTTTGTAACACCCTAACTTCATCATTATAGATCCCTGTTAAAAAATGTCCAGAGACTGAAAGTTCATTTTGTATATTTTTCAAGGTCTCGATCATTTTTTAATATAGTAATTTTATATTTCATACTGTAAGTAATTCCCCATATTAGACTCACATTAGAAGCGGGATCGTATCTAGATGTTCAGCAAAAAATCCTTATTAAAAATTTGTATGTACCTTTATGAAAAATTGTGTTCTTACCTGCAACGACCCCAAAGAAGCTGATGGAATATAGAAGTCCTTGGTCTGACAAACTCAGCTCCAGGTCACATTGAGCAGCTGGTGTTATGAACATTGCGTTCATTGTTTCTATTATCACGCACATTAAAGCACATCCTGTTGCTAGCAATACGTACAAGTTGTATTTCCCATATCCTGTAAAGTGACGGGAAATACAGTGCATTCAGTTTCAATGTGTACGAGAGAGCGAGAGTGCCCGCAACAAGCTTTTATGGCCTCCTTGATTTTCATAGGCCTCTCTCCTTCAGAGAGGTTGGAGTATTTCTAGATTTTTACTGTTCCTTGTCAGCGCTCCCTTATTGTGAAGTTATCTTTTCTTTTTGAATTGTACGAAATTTCAGGCTGATAAAAGCAGATGATATGAATCAAAAGCATGAACCATTGGATGCAAATAGATATTTGTGACATAACCTCAAAGTAGAGTGCAGCAAAAAACTATTTGTCTGTAAACGGCAGCGAGGAAGGTCGCGGGGCATTCTTCCTGCCTTTTACTAATATATAAGGCCTGTAAGTTAAGTGGTGAGACCAGCAACGTAGCGTTAGATCTGGCAACACCGGAGGCACCTGGCTTGGAGGGCTGACAGGAGAACATGTGATCCGCGTTCAGTACAAGTTTAAACTCTCTCGAGTCATTTGGTTGTTTAACAGATTCAGAGTACTAACACTTACTGATGGTGACTTTGAAGTTGAGTCATTAATTTTCAGATAATGATTGTAGAAGGAAGATAAATCAAAATATGTGTGTAAAAATAAAGTATCCTCCCGACAAGTATTTCAGTGCGGTCTTGGAGCACCGGCATGCCCTCCCCTGTGAGGTCTTAAGTCACGCATAAATCCGTGATGCCGCGGCAGCATTTTGTAAAGACTCCCCCCCCGTAAATAAGAATCATGTCCACAAGTTCACCATTTTCGTAAACATGTGCCATTTTTTATTTCGTTTGAGCCACGCAACAAACACCACTATTCACTCACGCGTTACCGACTGACACATTGACTGAATACAACTGAATAAAATTGTAGTAAAAACATCGTGATAAGCGTTCCAAATTCTTTCGCTTTTTTGTTTCCGATGCGATGAACCGATAAGGCGGATTATATCCGTTGTTGCCAAACACGAGCACATAATATTATTATTGAGACAGGGCGGTACTCAAACTTCTAAAGGGCTATAACTTTGTTACTTTAATTTTACCACAAAAATGTTAAAGGAAAAAAACCTTTCTTTTGATCAGATCTACTCACTGTTAAAATAAATAACTCAACTTCGAAGTACCCTGTATATATTCAAAAATAGATAAAAATTCTCAACACACGGCCAAATGCATTCACTTAATACGAGGACTTTCATATAACCCTACAGAACTCAAATTATGTGTAAGTTCCCAAAGACTAATCAAATGCTTAACCTACTGCCGTTGCAAATAAAGAATTGCCACAGTCTAAATACATTTAATAATTTCTTCAAAGACTATTTCATTGAAACTGGCTTATACAGACTATTGTGATATATGCCGTTAAGTCTTATTTTTCACTATTATTATTACTAAAATGTATGGCCCTTCCTGTATCATTTTTCTTGTCGAGTAGAAATAAAATAAATAAAAAAATAAGTAAAACTACGCACTAGACGAACGCGATAACTCGCGTAGCGATGACGTTCGTATGTGGAAAGGGACAACGTTGTCAGATGGAGAGTAGCTACCGGTAAAGCAGGGAATGAATGTCTATGGACTAACTCTATGAGCCTCTTTGACTGACTTGATACGTTCATTTTTCCTGTTGTACATGTTCGCAACTGACGTTTTTCTCAGAGGATTTAAATTGTGCTGAAAATAATCCTTTATATACTGATGACGAGAACTTACTAGTAAAAATGTCCTTGACGACATTTTTTAAATCGAAACGAGCTAATTAGTATTTTTGATTACGAAACTACAAGCTGCTGCACAGACAGATTGATCAGTCTTACCAGCTAATGTGACAGCTTCTTCGAAACTCTTTGTTCCTTTCCGTACTTCAACGACCGCGACCATTCCGTAAAATTTTGAAAAACTTCCGTTCCAGTTGTTCTTCACTTAATCGCTACGATACATTCTGAGACAAAATGGAGATGTGAATAGCGGAAAGTATCATTAAATAGTGCAAACAAACTGTTATTTTAGATGGTAAGTTCATGCAGATAACGTCGCTTGCGTAAATATGTTTGTGATTTATTGTTCTTGGATGTTTTGGAGTAAGATTCGAATACTGAGCCATGGCAGATTTTGTAAAAAATCCGAAAGCTCGGTCATACGGTTTTTTTAGAACGTATGCTGTTTCCAAAATATTGGGCTAAAATTCAGCGGATTGAGAGGCTTGATAGATCAAAATAACATAACACAAAAAAACACTATACCTATTCCCAATTAGAGAACATTTCGAATGATATATTTTATTTTTATTTACCAGAATGGTGAGTTACAAATAATACTGAAAGAAATCTCGTTTTCCGCCTAAATGACTGCAGCTTGCTCTTTTGTGCTTGTGCTTGTGGGATAATTCTGCATGTTCTTCGCGGTTTTGTGAAAATAAACATGTTTCTCACTATGAAAATCGTCAAAGACTTATTTTCATGTTTTTAAGAGATGATGTTTTTAACCGATCACAAAATAAATATTTATGCATATAATTCAATACAAGTTTTAATATGTTTGACGCTACCACCTACGAGCTTAAAAAAATCTAATCGCAAAGCGAGAAAGAAAGATGACACGAACTTTTATTCTTTCCTGGCATTTTTTGGATCTAGGAAACAAGCCCTAACAAATAGGTACCTTATCACAGGCAAAACTTTAACTGCTACCCTTTAGCTCGAAATCATCCTAATTCCCAAACTTGAGGCATGCGAATTACCTATTGCTTTGCACATTTCAGGAAGAATAAATAAATAGTCCATTTAAAAACTCCTTGGTGGTTTTTTCTGTACTTTAAAATTTGCACTTTGTAATTCCTTTGAATTGTAAAGGATAAGTTTAGATGATACATATAGTTTTTCAATAAGACCAAATTACTTTTTCATTCATATCGAAAATTACGTAGTCTTAATTCGCAGTTGGGCGATGAAAAAAATAAGGAAAATCTTTTCAAACACGGATTTGTAGAAAGTCAACAATAGGCTTTGTTTGTCTATTTGCTTGGGTTTACATTATCATGATTCTTTCATCAGTATGTTTGCACATGACTTACCTTGGACCAAATGTCAAACATCTAATTTCGCAAAGTCTCACTACAAATCATTTTATTGTGACAAACATCAATAGAATTTACGCAGAAGTAATACAGTCATCGCATATTGCAGCTGGATATAAACAAGCACATTTTCAGAAAACATCACAGCTTACATCTTTACCTGCATTGGTTTTAAGATTTCTAGGAATACGAGGGATGTCTTTTAAGTTTTGCATATAGAAACATAGTAGGCCGCGCGGATCGAACGTCAGTAGTGAATCTTAACCTCACTCGTTAGTTAACTTAAATTCAAAGTTCAATCAGTCGACAATTTCCCGTCGGTATGGAGAATTCAAACGTGGACAGGTGAGTCTTAGCGACGATTCCAGGGTGGGTGCAGTCACCCAAAAAAACGTCGATGCTGTGCGCAAACTCATCATTGAAGATAGACATGTGACATGTCGCGATATTGAGGCGTCCTTGAAGATCTCAAAGACCTTAACTCAAAAAATTTTACATGAAGAATTAGGAGTAAGAAAATTAGTTTCTCGTTGGATACCCCACCTGTTGACTGAATAGCAGAAAGCAGCCAGGGTTAATTGGTGTCAAAAAACGCTTGACCGTTTCAATTCTGGAAACTCAAAAAATGTGTACAGCTTTGTTAGTGGTGATGAATCATGGATTTACTCTTATGAACCAGAAAATAAACGACAGTCGGCTGTTTGGGTGTTCCAAGGTGAAGAAAAGCCAACAAAAGTCATCCGTTCTGTGTCAAAAGCCTCCTCTTAATGAGCAAAGAACTGTTACTGCGAATTGGTATACCACCATTCTGTTTGCCAAAAGTCATCACCGAGCTTCGAAAAATCAACCCCAAAAGAAGAAACATCCTCCACCAAGACAATTCAAGCTCGCACACAGCCCAAAAAACAAGGCAGTATTTAACGGAAGAAAACGTTGGAATTATTGGACCATCCTCCATATGGTCCCGATCTAAGTCCTAACGATTTCTTTACTTTCCCGAAAATTAAAAACAGACTGCGTGGTCAAAGGTTCCAGTCACCAGAAGAAGCAGTTGACGCATTCAAAAATACCGTTTTGTATCTGCCAGCAAACGAGTGGAATAAGTGCCTCAAAAATTGGTTCGAGCGCATGCAGATGTGTATTAATCTTCGTGGAGAATACTTCGAAAAACAATAAAGTCATTTAAAACTACCTACCGAGTTGTTTTATTTCCTTATGCAAAACTTAACAGACATCCCTCGTATTGGATAATAGCTATTAGACTGGAAAATCATGTCGGTTTTTAACATACTGATTCAGAGCCTAAATATACAAAGTGTATTCGTCCAAACTCCAGGGGGTGAGTCATTTAATTCTGTGATTTTCGAACAAGTGCATTTCTGAAAAATGGTGTCTCAAAGTTTCCCTCGTTACGCTAAGAAAAAAGTTAGCCACGAACATGTATAAAAAACACTAAATGACCTTTCTCCTCCCCTGAGAAGAATTCCGGCAGGCGCACATGATCGTGGAGGTATTCAATACCGCGTGAATGGCGATATTGGCCTTCATCATGCACAGCTCACAGCACCACTGATGTTTTGTGACCACAGCGGTGAGGAAGCGATTGCCGACTGCGACGTACGACCACCGACGACGACGCTTGTCCATCGGGAGACCACGTCCCACGTGAGCTGAAATCCCTAACAGTCCCAGCTAATAGTATCTATGAGCTTTCCGTAGGGTGACAGATGGCGGCTTGCGCTGTCTTATTGCATATAAATATACCAACGTCAAAAAATTTAGATATACCCAGCCCGATCCCCTGCAACCACTAACCCGTAATTTTTAAGCCCAACAATTTTTTTTTCGAAAGTGATCAAGATCGTCAAAAACCGAAGTTTGAGCGATTTTTTTTTTAGTACAAATGACAGGAACTTATCAATGTGATGCTTACAAACACAACTAACATTGCAAAAGTTAAGTGATCAGAATTGTTTTCAAGGCTAATCTGACGAAAGATGAGCTTCAATTGAACAGGCCTCGTACATCCAAAGATGGAAAACTGCGTTTTCTATTTGATTCAAATCTTGCGTGAATCTCATGATACCCTATTATTTTCCCAGTTCTAAGCTTCAATAGAAACGAATAAAGTTCTACGGCAACTTTCAGCTTCGGCGACCTCTCTCAGCATCCTGTTCGCCTGATCAACGATCTATTGAGGATTTTGTAGCCGCAGCTCAAAAAACAATCAAGCTGCAGCTAAACGGTGTTTGAGGGAAGTCACCAACTAATTAGCAACGATGAAGTTAACCTTGCAAATGTGTGTGACTGTGTTTCAAACGCTCAGCGAAGGAACGACAATAGGTTAGACGATAGGAGAACATGAGCTGCGGGAGGTGGGTGAAGCTGAAAATCGCTATGTTGTCAGCTCTGCTGATTTTTCTTAGATATCCTGATATATTTTATTTCGGAAACTGAGATGTCCCCGGAGGGGGTGACTATGAAAATCAAAGCGTCAAGATGGCCCTGAGTCCTGCCTACATACCTTCAACTTGATAATGATAATGATTTATTGTCACTCAGTTTACAGTAGTCAGCAAGGCAAATAAAGGCATTTAAATACATCATTACCATACGTATACACAAAAACAGTACATAAAAAAAAACTATGGACAAATAACCTTTCAATTTTTTTTCGGAGGCATACGATATATAGATAAAAGTGCATTTTCGGCAGTCCAAATATACTAAGTGACATATAAATCCGAACACCCAGTTTAAATGGTTTTATTTTAATAAAAGTTGGTGAATGTATTTATCTTACTGTAAATAACAAGTGAAAAAATTTTCAGCCTTACCAGTTGGACATTCCGGTTTTTATACTGCTTTTTTTTAATTCACTAACGCTCTAAAAATGAATATTTCAGCCGCAGTAAAGAATCAACGTTGGCGGATTTTGGTTCTTGACATCCTTTACGATCGGTTACGATGCCTAGAGTACGGAGACCTGTACGATTTCGTCAACTGAGTTTGATAGGGGCCGTATAGTGGGACTTAGGGAAGCTGGACTTTCTTTTCGGGCAATTGCAGTTAGAGTGCAAAGAAGTGTAGACACTGTGGTTAGGTGTTGTCAGGCATGGCTTCGAGAAGGCCGTACGCAAAGAGCAAGGGGCACTGGACGCCGCCGTAGAACAACAGACCGTGAAGATTGCCGCCTAAGATTATTGGCCTTAAGGGACCGTTTCTCCACAACCAGGTCCATTGCAAACGAATGGTTTGCAGAACACGGAAGACCTATTGGCATGCGAAGTGTTTACCGACGAATGAGAAGTTTTGGCTTGTTTTCATACCGGCCACACTGGGTCGTCCCTTTAACTCGAGAACACCGACGTAATCGCCTTGAGTGGTGCAGACAACGGTCACTCTGGGATCAGGAATGGAACAGTATTGTCTTTAGTGACGAGTCTCGATTTTGTTTAGGCATGCACGATGGTCGTGCCAGGGTTAGAAGGCGACGTGGTGAAAGGAGGAATCCACAGTTTTTTGTTGAAAGACATGTTCATCACACTGTTGGAGTTATGGTTTGGGGTGCTATAGCTTATGGTTCCAGGTCACCTTTAATCTTCATCAGAGGTAACATGAACGCGCAGCGTTGTATCCACGAAGTTCTAGAACCCCATCTTTTACCCTATCTTGACACCCTGGCAGATCCAACTTTCCAACAAGATAATGCCCGACCACATGTTGCAAGAGTCACAATAGACTTCTTTCAACATAATGATGTCACATTGTTACCATGGCCAGCAAGATCTCCCGACTTATCCCCAATTGAGCACGTGTGGGATATGATGGGTAGGAGATTGCTCAATTTGCAACGTCCTCTTCAGACTCTAGAAGTACTTCGAGGGGAGTTGGTCGTTGCCTGGAATGAGATACCACAGGAGGACATTCACCA